CTGCATTTAAAATATCACAAACACATCTCAAAAGCAAACATTTGTCTTACGATGCAAACTCTTTTGCCATAATATTATATTTTTGGAAATATCATATACACACATTTATTCAAAACATAAAGCTCTTCTTTCATGAGCTCCTACATGAATGTACATTTCTGTACGTGATTGAAAGCAATTGGCAGAGAGATGTTGAAAAATTCACGGTAAACATGAAAGCCAGATTGAAACCAAACCTTTTTTTTTTTTTTTTTACTGTAAGCATTTGTGGTTGTACAGTATTACACAGTCCGAAAAACCTATAACTCGACCTTGTGAATTGTGTGTTGTGGTTTGCAAAAAGTCGAAGGCCGAGAATTAGTGTATGGTTTTGCAGATTTGGTGTGTGGTTCTGGTGTTTGAGTGTTTGAGGCCCTGTCCACACAGACACGGGTATTTTTATAACCGTGACTTTTTTCACACGGTTCGGCCGTTCGTCCACACGAAAACGCACTGAAACCGAACATTTTTGAAAACCCCTGCCAGGGTGAGGATTTTCAGAAACGCCGGTTACAGTGTTGTCGTGTAGACAGTGAAACCGGGGTTTTTGCCTTGTGACATCAGAGAGTGCGCCGGTATCCTCTGTGTTTGACGTCAGATTTGCGCTTCTGATTGGCCAACGTGGCTTTACGGTTAAGGTTTATATCGCCGCCTGCTGGCGTGGCATGCTCTTGACCGTGCTTGATAGCGTGTTTTTCCGTTTTCATGTAGACAGAGACCGAGCATGTGTGGACGGGATTTTTTTTTTAAACGCTGTAGGAAAAACTCCGGTTATAAAAATACCCGTGTCCGTGTGGACAAGGCCTGAGTGTCAGGTTTCAGAAATTGTGTCAAAAGATCAAAAGAACAGCATTTATATGGAATAGTAATCTTTAGCAACATTACTGTCTCATCTGATCAATTTAACGTTCTGACCCCAAACAGATGCATATGAGACTGAAACAGTCCGCTTGTACATAGATGGAAGACACCATAATGCTTAAGATGGAAGAAATAGTGTGTCTGTTTCTCAGATTGCTCTGAGCTATTCAGTGATAAGAAATGACTTTGACCGTGCCAGAACTGATCCTGGAATCTTCTGCCTGTTTCTGGAGATGGTCCTCACTGCAGAACATGAAATCCACGGGGAGGAGTCGGATCCAGATCCAACTCCTCCCACCTTACGTATACCTAAACCTACCCATCTCCGCCCCCTGATCCCTAAACCCACCCCTAATCCTACCCATCTCCACCCCTGATCCCTAACCCCACCCCTAATCCTACCCATCTCTGCCCCCTGATCCCTAACCCCACCCCTAATCCTACCCATCTCCACCCCTGATCCCTAACCCCACCCCTAATCCTACCCATCTCCGCCCCCTGATCCCTAACCCCACCCCTAATCCTACCCATCTCCACCCCCTGATCCCTAACCCCACCCCTAATCCTACCCATCTCCGCCCCCTGATCCCTAACCCCACCCCTAATCCTACCCATCTCCACCCCTGATCCCTAACCCCACCCCTAATCCTACCCATCTCCGCCCCCTGATCCCTAACCCCACCCCTAATCCTACCCATCTCCACCCCTGATCCCTAACCCCACCCCTAATCCTACCCATCTCCGCCCCCTGATCCCTAACCCCACCCCTAATCCTACCCATCTCCGCCCCCTGATCCCTAACCCCACCCCTAATCCTACCCATCTCCACCCCCTGATCCCTAACCCCACCCCTAATCCTACCCATCTCCACCCCTTGGATCTTGATCCGACTCCTCCCCGTGGATCTTATGTACTGCATTTGAGGTGCTACTGTGTTTCTGGGCCCTTTCGTCAGGTGTGAGCGCATGAGAGGAGGTTATCTGGGTGGGTTATGTAAATGTCCTGCTTTTACAACCCCCCATACCTCTGGGACAGGAGGATTGCGTAACACTTTACGCCACCAGCAACTCGTCTACCCCGTTCACACAACACTTGCAATTACCTTTCCACGCAAGTTACCTTTCTTCACCTTTTAGCCTGCACAATATTTATAGTTCTGCAATTATACAAGCAGAGAAGCATCTGTGTGTGCTGCAACATTCCCCCTTCTGTTAAACATCAGGAACAATGTTGTGTTAAGTGTACATGATGGCTCAGCTGCAGCTGTGATTGTTTTGTAACACCTAATAGAGCCTGAATCCACCGTGAAGCTCATGAAACACAAATTAACACAGACAAATGATGAGCATTACTTTCACTCTTCAACACTGCGAGTGCTGGAAATGTTGCCTGGGTGTGTCATACATTTCACAATTTATGTCGTAAATCTTTTGGTGAAATGTCACCCCAAAATCAAAATAAAAAAGGACCATTTGTAGGACCATAATAATAATAATTATTATTATACCATTTAAGCACATTTCTCTTAGTATTAGAGTAAAAACAATTACTTTAACCTGTTAACTGTCACCCCCCTTTTTTTGAATAGACATGAAAATGCACATTTCGAACATAAATGGTTGTAATTCAAGAATGCTTTGGAATATAGACGTAAGATTGGTCTTGTTTTAAAGAAGACATTTGGCAGATTTATGTAGAAGTGAAATAAATTAAGAAAGTGAAACAGAAAAAAAGTTATAGAAGTTTGAGTTCATGGAAATGTACAATGTAAAACAATTAATTATTCATATTTTATTTAAAATATATATTTTTAAAACCTGGGCTACCCTAAAACTGCAGAAAAATCAAAGCCAAAAATCTGAACAAGTTGTGTTTAAAATTTTAAGTTGATATCTCAAAAAATTAACTTTCAGTAAGATTTTGTTCGGGCGCAGTACCAAACTTTTTCACTAGATGACAACCAGACTCCATTACTGCCCATATAAGGGCGCCACCATTTCCATATGTGTTTTGAGTGATATGAACCATTATTCCACAATTTTCATAGAATTTATGAATTAGAGATCCTATTCAGAAGTAGTATGTGAAGTTTGGCAGATTTTGATACGAATTCGCCTCTAATAAACACATACAAAGAACACGCATGTGCGTCATAGCTCGCTGCCACATCACAAATGGTGAATTTTTTTCTTTATATTTAAAACATTTTCAGACTTTTTTTTCTAAAATAATTGAATGGATGCTATCTTTTGAACTCTAGGTATGAAAACAAACTAGGTTTCTACAATTTTTTTCATGATTTTGCATGTTGCTATTTCAAAATAAAGGTCTGAACACGCCTTAGGAGTATGAAAATATTCTTGTTGCAAATTGATAAATTACGGCTCCTCTGTAATTTATTTTGAAAATCAATCACCAAATATGGAAACTAGAGATTGTAAGCTTTCAAATGATATATAGTTTGTCAATATTACTTAAGGTTTTCACAAAGATATTACTGTTTTAAAAATATAATGGCAAACGTCCCACCTGTGGGATGGTGACAGTTATTAAAAATGTTTGATTTTTTAATTAGCATATATTAAAGGCAAAAATATTTGTATATATTGCATTATAGTAAATTTGTTTTCTATTTTTATATATTTTACATTTTTATTTATTCCAGTGATGGCTTTTTTGGTCCTCTAGTAACATTTCTTGAGTTATTTTATTATCAGTGTTGAATATAAAGTTCACAAGAACATTATTATTTAAGTTCATCAATTTCTTTTTCTATTGATTTTGGTATCAAATATCAGGTGAACATGTTTTATGTTTTTTTTTTTTTTGTGATGATGTGTTTTAAAATATCAATAAATGAAGCATTCCTCAGTACTTTAGTTCAAAAGACAATATTGTTTTATCATAGATTCTCATATTACACAAATGTTGTATCTGTACAATTCTAAATACATAGGTTCTCTGTTAAAATACAGTATGATAAAAAAAATCTCCTGTATCATTAAGTTCATTAGATGTCCATCACTTACTCATGTCTATACTGAAAAATCTCTTGCGCTCACTCGAATCCCACAAACATAACTCTTGTGCTTATGCCAAAATGCAACTTAAAGCTGAAGTGTGCAATTTTTCTCAATAGTGAAATACTTTCTCTCAAGGAGGTCTATAATACTTGGAGAAGTTATCTGTCAGCATTCCTATTCATCTCAAAGCTTGTTGTTCCTTCTGTAAATTCAATTCTGCCATCTTTGCTCATGGTTCCGCATGCAGGTTTTTTGAGCCAATCACCTGAGCCGTAAAAGCCATGTGACAATGCAGATTGGCAGCAGACTGTGAGATTTTATTTCATGCTTTTGAATTTCATCTACTACAATATCATTAAACATTTGCAACATTCAAACCAGTCTGAAAACTATTTTGGAAATTTCATTTGAGGATGCACGGACATCACACACTTCAGCTTTAAATAACGAATCATAATTCATAAAGCATACTGCAATGTAAAATTGATCTTCATTGATCTGCAAGGCGCAGCCTTCACAGTGTTGGATCGTGTCCATTATACTTGCTCCAAATTATGTCTTGTGCGAAAAACCTCCAACCACAGTTAAAGAGATTTCAATCCTGCATGTGTTTCACAAAGTAACTAATCACTAATTAATGTCTAGATGAAATTAACACTGATTCTTGTAGGATGCTCAATAAGTGCATAGTTGTGTTCTTTGATCGTTTTCATTTGCAGGAAAGTACTTTTTTTTACTTTCCCTCTCCTGTTTGCTTCCACTTTATGCTTGTGTATTGTGTGAAAATGTGTGTATTTTTAAAGGGATAGTTCACCCAAAAAATGAAAATTATGTCATCATTTACTCACCCTCATGTTGTTCCAAACCTGCATGAGTTTCTTTCTCCTGTTGAACACAAAAGGAGATATTTTAAAGAATGTTGGTAACCAGACAGTTGACGGCACCCATTGACTTCCATAGTACATTTTTTTTCCTACTATGGGTGCCGTCAACTGTTTGGTTACCAACATTCTTTAAAATATCTTCTTATGTGTTCAACATCTCATACAACTCACACAGGTTTAGAACAACAAAATTTTCATTTACGGGTGAACTATCCCTTTAAGCCAGTGTTATGTTGTTCACTTCAATAATCCAGCCAGGGATAAAGTAAAAGCAGGCTGTGGTTTTCACACTAACGATTCACAGACGGGTGTGATATCCGAGTCTTGACTGTGCATTGAACTGAGTCCCGTATCTGAGTCGTCATCATTCCCGTCACATGTTTTTGAAAGCCCTCTTGCCTGCTCCACCCACACACTGTCCCCCTCGAGAGCCATCAGTCTGTCTGTTTCTATTGTGCTTTCCTCTTTCAGCTCCGCATTGTCTGCACTGTCCTCCTCAAAATCCAAAGAGTTGACTTTCTCCAATAAATCCGTTAGTTCTTTCTCTTTCGCCCCCCATATCTCCTTGGTCAAGTCCAAATCATTCCTTATAGCCTCCAAGTCTGTGTTCAACCGCAGGCCGATGTACAAACTGGTGTCGAGTTGGGTTCTGATCCTCTCCTCTTCCAGAAGCAAGTCGTTGTCAGACGACACATCCAGCGCTGAAGATCCTTCATGGTGTTCTTGAGTTGTGACTCTGAGAGATGCCTCGCCAGAAGTGCTTTCGGCGTCTTTATTCGCCAGTTCCTCGTGCCTTCTCTTCATCCACCTCTGGTTGAGCTCCTCTTGGATCTCAGTCGTAATGCTCTCCATGAGGGCCTCGTGCTCAGCCAGTTCTTCTTGCAGTTTGATGACCTCCTCGCATCTCCTCGCATATTCCTCAAACTGGGCGAGAGCTTCTTCTGGGCTGGTTTTGTCACCCTCGCCAACTTTATCAGGGTTGGCGTCCACTAAATACGTATCCTGGACATAGTTGACCCCGTGCATCTTCATTCTATCAAAATGAACTTTGGCCTCATACCTGTCGATTTCCCTGTCGAGCTCTTTTATCCTCTGAATCTGCTGGCGGATGGTGTGATCTTGAGATATGACCAGGTGCACAAGGGTCTCCATCTTCTCCATGCATGATTCGTCCTTAGATGCAGCCTGCGCTCTTTTCTTATTGATCTTATCCAATTTTCTGAACGCTTTCCTCACTATCCGTCTTTGTTTCTCTTGTGACAGAGCCATTGTCACTCTCGCGGTCCCCTTGTAAACACACGGGCTCTCCTTGCTGAGAACTACGCGCGCCTCTGCGCTCCGCGGCCCGTTGCTCGGGAGAGACGCCTCGTTCTTCACAAGCACGAACCGCACGTTTTCTTGTTCCTCTCCCCACGCGCTCCACAGTCGCAGGATCTTGGTTTTGTTGGGTAAAATCCGCTCGACCCCTCTCCATTTCTCCACGACGCAGTAGGACTGAGGAGAGCCCGAGAAAGACACGCGCGTCTCCAGGTTCTGCTCCTCCAGTAACACCCGGATCACATCTGCGCAGGTCGTGCGCTTCGACAAGCCCGACACGAGCTTCTCTTCGCGACAAACCCACACTGATATTTTACTCTCCTCTGCCTCCATCTCTCTGACTGATAGTTACTGTCCCAGCAAAGTTTCCTGCTGCAGGAAATTATTCAGATGAAGTGAAAACTATTATAACTATTATAGCCTGTAAAGGGTTAATCCACACTGTTGAAATGATAAAGTTGTAATGTTGTTGATTGAAAGAGTTGCTGATGCTCGTCCTCATGTGTGTCTCTCGGTCTCTGGGAGTGAATGAGAGCTGACGGGACAGCGCTGCTGCGAGTGCACTGCACTGATCACATGACCTCTCTCTAGCCTAGATAGTGCCATTATAAGATAGCCTACCTGTTGTGTGCACTTCTATTCAGATGAAACAAAAGAAAAAATCTCTTTTTAAAGTATTTAATAAAAACCGAATACAACAATTAAGCAAGGAAATGAGAACACTGGATAAAAGAACAAGGATCTGATAAGTTGTTTTTTGATTGTCTAAAGAAATGACGGTGATAAACGGATCATTGACCAATAAAGCTTCAAAAAGGGTGTTTTTAAAAAGAAATCTTTTCGAAACTGATGTAATGCTTATTTTTTAATCATGAGCAGTGTTTTTAAAAAAGTTTCAGTTAACATTTCAGTGTTTATTTTTTTGTTAACTGTTTTATGTCCAAAGTTGTAATACTGTAGTTGTACCACCTGACATGGAATTTGTACCAGCCTACCCATACTTGAAATTATCATTTTTTTTCCAGTTATATTTGAGAGATCTACAAACCTCTGGATGATGCATTAACATGTTTACTTTTATTACCTTGTCAATTCATAATAAAAGAGCCATGTTTGGAGTTTTGCCACACTGACATTTGAGAATATACAAATTGCTGGGCAAAATTTTTCAATTATCTCAACAGCTTTAAAACTACTGATATTTATACAAATATTACCAAAATAATACAAAAATGTATGTTTTCTTAGTCGGACAGTTGCACCACCTGACCTTTTGGGGGTTTAAAATAACAAACCATAAAATAATATGTATTATTTAAATATACTAAAAATGAATTCAAATTAAATAGGTTTTATAGAATAAAGAGATATATATCATGAAGTTATCAAATTACTAATGCACTTGGACACAAAATGCATGTCATGTCATTGACCCAAACTCAGTGAATTCATACTTCATTTCACATGACAATCATATTCATTTATCACAGTTATACGTAATATTGTCTTTTACAAAACTCACTTGGATTAATTTCCTTTTTTTTTATAAAGGAACAAATAACCTGACATGTTTAAAAAAAAAAAAAAAAAAAAGATGATTATCACATATACAGTATTATTATCATCATCATTTCATAATTATTATTTTGTTTTCGTTTCATGACTTGAGGTTTTCTTTTTTATGCCACAATGACTAATATTGTTTTATGACATATATCCAAGTGAAACGGAACAAGAACAGATGTAGGGCAGGGCTTGATTTCGTCCATGGGGAATTGATTGGATGGTTGTGGTTTGCTATTGGTTGATCTCATGTGAGTGACAGGCTGGTTGCCCCGCCCCCACTCCAGTAAACTAATGTTATCAAACAGAACCTTACAGTAAAGTGCTACACATTTATTCTGTGAGCAGTAGTGTATAATTGGAGGTTTACAATGACAAAATCTGTATCATGTGATTTCAATATGTCCCCTTAAGGCACTAAATCAGCTGTTATCAGGGTATGACTGAGGGAGTCATCTCACGTGAGTGGACATGATTTAAAGTACTATTCACCTTTAACCTGAGTACATCTTTAACCTGCCGTTTCCGAAACAATAAAAACAAGCAGCCTCTCCCAACCCACAGTAAACGGATCCATTTCATAAAGGCCAGAGTTTACTGCTTAACATGCCAGAAACAGATCTTGTGATGAGATGGACCGTTTGTCTGCAAAGCTATTTTAATAGTTCCATTTTTTAATCTTGAAGGCCAAAGTTGGTGTATTTGCTTCTTCAAGCTTGGAGAACTTGAAATGTGCTTCTTCTAGAGTATTGCATTAAGAAATTGAGAAAAGAAAAACTTGTACATCACAACACAACAACCGTTTATCATGTCGTATGCAGTGATTATAAGTCTGCAAATTTATAGACATGTAAATTGTGCAGTGAGTTTATATGTTCTTATTTTATTTGTTGGTAAAAAAAAAAAAAATCGAATTTCAGGGTCAAACCTGATCCAACTGAGATTAAAGGGCCATAATCCTTGTAATTGCATGATCATTGTATGGTTTTAAACTTCACAAATCTCTTCATATCCACAAACATATGCACTGACGCCAAACCTAACCCTGTTAACAAAATTATATGTTTAATGTTTAAACCTTTTAAATGTCTTTAAGCAATAAATAGCTAATAAAAGTCATTTAGGTTTAACTGCTTCCTGAGAACCATCCTGCAGTGACACCTCCTGTTTACTCTCATTATTGCAAAATTCACAATTCATATCTGTAAAATACCGCCCCTAGTGTTCACTGCTATTACTTTAACTACATAGTGTACGAGATGGAAATCATAAATACAGTATGCCTACAGCTTTTATAAATGCATTAAAATAGAACAAATTATGCAAATTAAAATTTAAGAAGCTAAGGACTACCACTAGTGTTAAAGACATGCACTAAATGTGTAGATTTTCATAAATAATAATAACCTAAATATACAAAATACACTGGACACACCTTAATTTAAATGGTTGGTTCACCCAAAAATGAAAATTCTGTTATCATTTACCTGTACAGTTGATGGACCCCGTAATATTTTTTTTTCTCCATACTATGGAAGTCTATGGGGTCGATCAACTGTCTGGTTACCAACATTCTTCAAAATGTCTTTTTTGTGTGTTCAGCAGAAGAAAGAAACTCGTAAAGGGGTTGGTAAATAATGACAGCATTTTCATTTTTGGGTGCACTATCCCTTTAACTTTGTTTTCAAAAAGTGACGACAGGTGGCGCTGCAGACTGGCAGAAAATTTCAGTACTACAATCCATCCCCGCGAGAACATCAATTACAATGACAACTTTCTTTAACTCACCACATGTCATTCTAAAACCGTATGGCTTTCTTCTGTGGAACATAAAAACATATTCCTGGAAACTTTCCACAGAAGAAACGTCATACGGGGCTGGAACAACATGAGGGTGAGTAAATGACAGAACTTTCATTTTTATAAGGATGAACTTTCCATTTAAATTAAAAGAGGGAAAGATAACATGATCAGATAAGCTGTGTTTTAATTATTTATTTTATTCAATATTGTATACATACAAAGTATTCTAGAAAGCTACAAAATATCTACCACTTTATCAAGGCGGCATCAAAATGTTACGGAGCAAAGACAAGACCATATGCGATAAAGAACACACACATAATACGTTTTTTTCTTTTCTCTCTCAGCCTTGCTCCAATGTTTTTTTTTCTTCACCCCCATCATCAGGGATATTAAAAGATATCACACCTTTGTACCAAGAAAAGCCAGAATATATAATTTTATACAAAGCACCTTTTTACAAAAAAATCTCTGCACACAAACCCAATATCTTTTTATGATACTATCTGAACTAGAGAAAAGTTCACTTTAAAGCCAACATCTTAAATGGTAATGAACATAGGAGGTACCAGTACCTACACACAGACAAAATACAAACATAGATCAAAAAACATAAGCTAAACTGCTGTCATACTGTAGTCCGGATTCCGCTCAAATCCTTACTTAGTGTCCATTACTAGCAAAATAATGTCCGTTTAACATTCGTCATATTAAAGGCATTAGTTTTCAAATCCCTAGAGAAGTAAAGGGGACTGTTAAGGAGGAACTGACGTAGCAGATGCACCAGCAGTAACAGCATCACCACCCGAACGGGCTCTGAATATACTGACGTCATCACAAAACATGTAGAACAATACAGGAAGATCTCTATATGAAACGTGAACAAGAAGGCGAAGGTAAGGCAAACACGAAACAATCAACATCGTTTGCCTTTTTGATATTGAGCGTACTTAACTCCACAGTTTACTTTAAGCGGTACAACATACACAGCTGTAAATCTAACTTAGTCTTTCACTCTTTGAGGGTTTCATCCACTTAAACGAACAACATGAATAAATTATGCAGTGGAGATGATACGGTTTGGTGAAGCCAAGAACTTTGCGGATAATATCCTCAACTCTCTTTAAGGTCTGAGGAGAAAAACACCTTTACGTCACTTAATATAGTGTTTGCTATATTCACGAAAGAAAATAAGACATTGAAATGGCTTAAAAAAGAAAAAAAGAACACCATTTAGCATTCATAATCTCCATGGTGCTGTGAGGTTTTCACTTTTATAATTTGATTATGCACTAGAAAAGACACTAAAGATAAGTCTCACACAGAATGGAACCGAAGTTCTTGAAAGAAGAGAAAAAAAACATGACAGTTTGCCAAAAAAAAAAAAACATGACAGTTTGCCACATCCACCAAATCAAATGCTGATAGAAATTTGTTATTAATAATTATTACATAACTTTATTTCAGAACATCTCCACTCACTAGCCCATGTTGATTTTTCTATAAAATTTTATGAAGGCAATGTGGTGAATATTTGACCTACATCCACTTTTTTTTTTTGGTTTTTGATCATCTTAACAACGCAAAATAACATCTGTCTTTTCTAAGCTGGAAAAATCGGAACCAAAGGCACTTTCATGCTACAGTGCAGGAAATAAAGAGGAGCTCAGTGCGTCTCCAACTTTTTGGTCTTTTCGGATAAGAAAGGCAAGATCAGATACTTTACGTACAGTATGTCTAAATATGTCTTCTATGTGTCTCTGAGAGTGAAAGGTCAACCAAATGGCCAGTGCTTTTTTTTTTTATAAAGATGTTATGGTGCGGTCACATTTGCAAAATTGCAGCGAAATTTCAAGGAGAAAAAAATTGTGGTGGAGAACGCGGGCATGTAACATGTAACGTCCGATCAACCAACGATAGTCCATTGTCTATTGTCAGTAATGTAATGACCCCCCCCCCCCACAAAAAAAAAGCAGCTTTCCGACGAAAATGAACTTGAAAATGAGCAAAATCTGCATGTGGAAAATTTTCGCCATAACGCAAAACTCGCGCGGATTTCTATTGAAATGACTGGATTTCGCCAGCAAAATCTCGCTGAGCAACATTAAACGTGACCGCGCCTTTAGTGTTACTTTTTCCCGAAAAACGACTGCGCTCATCTGCGTTGACTTCATACACTAAGGCACTGTGCTGTATATTGTTACACTTTGGCAGGTTTGTACTGTACAATTCCTACAACATGTGACAATAACAAGAAAGTCTTCCAGCTTAGGAAAGAGGTCACAGCTTTAGTGGCATCTTTTGGAGTTCACACAACCATTATTAAGGCTTGCAGTCGTAGAAATCGATTAGGCCACAGAGACATGGGCTGTGCGGGAATGTCGAAGGCAGCGAAGAACTCTGGGACAGGACTGATTCTTACAGAAGATGAAGGAGTGCTCCATGATGTACAGCATGTTCAGGGATGGGCTTTGTGAAGTGTGGCTTCCCCAGCGGCAGAAGGCATGTCCGACGAGCGGGTCCAAGTGCTCGGGTCAAGCTGATGGATAATCCACCAACTCCCGGTAGTTAATGCAGTGCTTCTTGTTTCTAGAGTTATCTTTTATACAGGAGGCGTTTAGCTGTCCAGTCAACAGGGTTGATTCTTATTGCAGGTGGTGACACGTGAAAACAGACACAGGTTGGTATAAACTTCTCGTATCACAGTGCAGTAATTCCTCAACGAAAATTAAAAAGTAGCATGTACAAAGTAACTCTTTTCAAGGGCTGGGCTTCTGAATTCCCTGAATTCTCTGAATGTTCGGAATGAGGGAACTTTTGTTTTCCGATGGCCACAAGAATCTTTTTTCTTTTTTTTTTAAACACCTACAGTAGCTTTCTTTTCAATAAATCAATGTTACGGAATGAAATTTCTCAAATACTTTTTCTTTGGGAAAAATACCTGTGAGAATGTACTGTATATACATCTGTACACCTACATCCCACTCACAAACACACATTTATGGCTGCACCCATATGCTTTCAGATCTTTTGAGTACATTACATGATTTAAAAAATAAAAATCGAAATGAGGTTGTTTTCAGATTCAACCTAACTCAACCCAACCCTTAAGTCGAACTAAACCGTATGTCACTTTATATGTATATTCTACGAATGAATCTTGATCCGGCATTCTTTGACATTCTTTCCTGTATTAAAACTTAATACAACTGTACCGCCATTCACAGCTGCAGTTAAACGTCAAACACATATTAATAAAGAAATATATATATATATATCATTAGAAGCATCACCCAAATGTGAGTGAAAATCATCTTGAGTTAGTGTTGAGCTAGAGGCACTGCCACTGTACTGAGGTCGAGAGTCTGTGTGAAAGAGCTGCTTCATTCCTTCACTAGTCTGTAGATGTGATGCTGGGCTCCGTGCTCGCTGTTTGACACTTCGAACACACAGGCCATGCACAGCAGGGTCTCCTGTGTGTCTCTGTTTGTTACCACCTGAAACAGAGAGCCAGAGACGTCGCATTACTGTACAGTAAACCACATGAAACCTGTCAAAATCATATTTGGGTTACACTTTATTTTAAGGTGTCACTGTTACAGTGTAATTATACATTTAAGTACTGAAAGTATTAAGTACTTTAGGGTTAGTTGCATGCAATTATGACTAATTTATAGTTATTACTATAGTAAATACATGTAATGTGTGTAACAAGTACAAATTAAAATAAAGTGTTAACCATATATCAACAAAATGTTTGCAGTGGCAAAAAAAGTATGTATACAAAAATGTATACAAAGACAATTATAATGTTCTAAAAAATTCGATTTCAAATGAAATCTTTTCTTTTGAACTATTTATATTCATTCAAGAATCCTAAAAGAAAAAAGGTTATTATTAAAATATTAAGCTGTTTTCAACATTGATAATATTAGGAAATGTTTCTTGAGAAGCAAATCAGCATATTAGAATGATTTCTGAAGGATCACGTGACACTGAAGACTGGAGTAATGATGCTGAAAATTCCGCTGTGCATCACAGGAATAAATTACATTTCAAAAAAAAAAAAGTAAATTATAATAATATTTCACAACATTTCTGTTTGCTCTGTATTTAACTGTAAACATAAAAAAAAATCTCACAGACCCCAAAACTTTTGAATGGTACTGTACATCATAGTAGTATTTGGCATTATGTGTGCTGATTTAAAATAAAACAAAACAATAAAATGTATTTATAAATTCTAAAAATATGTAGTAGTATATACAGTACATTTCTCTAACCTTTGAGAAGTAAAGTAAAATATACTATATTTTTTTCTTTTGTGATTATTACTATTTATGGATCTTTACAAGTTGGTAGAGCACAATGATTTTGTCTCTTTCATTTCAAATATTATAATATAATATTATTTGATCAAGAGGAAGGTCTCAGGTTTTTGACTGCATGCATCACCTTATGTCAGAGCGTGAAAAAAAACTATTTTTATTAAGTCTTGTGCTTTTATATTGGGATTTTTTCAAGCACTTGACTTTAAAAGCCACATTTTAAAGATCCCTTTCCCACTCTACAGATAAAGCGTTGTTGAAAATCCGGTTCGCGTACCCCTGAAGTGATAAAATAAACTTCTGTATCAAATTTATAGGCAAGACAAGTAGTTTGTTTAGGCATGGTTTGTAGGGAAATTACAAACCTGCGCACACATATTTAAACGAATATAACTATAGAATCAATTTTTAATGCGCATGTGAACGCCATCAGGTCACAGGTTCGCGTTTAAAGTCTGTTTAGAGAGAACGCCGTCGTCTTAGTGGCCCCTAATGTAATAACAAATGATCATTTTGCTGGAAGTGAATCAATCAAAACCAACTTTAGCTGGAAATAACATTATTCAAAATCGCTATAAAGCCAAAACAATCTCTGTTACCGTAAATTGTATGTTTATCTCTGTAAAGCTGCTTTGAAACAATCTCCATTGTTGAAAGCGCTATATAAATGAGGATGACTTGACTTGACTTGACATTTAACTGACCATTTTTAAAACCCCTGATATGGTGCAATGATGGCTTGATAGGTAAGGTTGGGATTCATTAGTATTTAAAAAGTGTTTTAAATGATTGGATCATTTTTCACACATTGGATCCTGTGCATTTAGCACTGTATGTGTTTGGATCACCTGAGATCAACCCTTCAACAACCACAACATACACTATAAACACATCTTTCAGTCGTTCTATCATGACTAAAACCTCCATCGTACCAGGATGTGAGGGATTTGAGGGAAGAGAGCAGGGAAAGTGCATTAGTAAGACCCTCACTGTAGGGGAGAATAGGGCTCTAATCCTTATGTGTGTGTGAAGGTTAGAGAAAGGGGTTCCTCCCCTTTGCAGGAGATTATCAGGCTTTGCACAGCGCCACAGGAATGCTAGGAATGCAGAGTCGTATCAGCTCAGAGGCCACAGGCTCCGCCCTGCACTCAGAGCTTTCACTGATTGGTTTAAACGTCACTGATGACAAGCAGACTCACCAATAAGATGGTGAAGTTCTCCAGGACGCTGTTCATCATGTATTTCTCAGGCAGGTGTTTGAGTTTGTGGATGAAGTTGATCATGTATTCACACATGGGAGACCGACTTATCCGGTAAACAAAGCGGCCGTTCTCAAAGCGAGCGTACTCCGTCTGAGAGGAGAGAGGAGAGGGAGATGAGAGAATGCACAGCAAAAAAACACCATGGCATATGATACATTACCAGTCAAAAGTATGAAAAGTATGATTTTTTTTTTTTTATGTTTTTGAAAGAAGTCTCCTTTTTTTTGTGTGGAGACATTTAAACATTATAAATGTCTTTCATGTCAATTTTTATCAATTTAATGTGTCCTTGCTAAAAAGTTTTCATTTATGGTAGTGTATCATGGTTTCCGCAAAAAAATATTTAGCAGCAAAAACTGTTTTGTACTTTTATAAAAATAAGAAATGTTTCTTGAGCAGCAAATCAGCACATTAGAATGATTTCTGAAGGATCATGTGACACTGAAGAATTTCAGTAATGATGCTGAAATTCAGCTTTACAATTAAATAAATAAATTACAAAAGTCTTGACCAAAGTACAGACAACATTTTATTTTTGTACAGGATGTACATGTGTTTTTTCTGACTAAAATCACATTATTGATCTCAAAATCTCAACAATGTCTCAAATTGCTCAGATTAAGATACCAAAGTCTGCAATTAAAAATACATTTCTCTAAACATTTCTTATCAAATTCTCCCAAGACCATTTTTTTTCTGAGACTGAGATCTCCCCATTAAGGATCCTGAGATATGAAAGAGCAATACACTTTTTCTCATTGAATGGAGCATTAAATGTTCTCACTCTAATATGAGATTAGATTGAGAACATTTAATGCTCCATTCAAATGTTAAATCCTGTACTCAAAACTCAAAAATTCACCTCCACTTTCTCCACAACCTGTTTTCCAAACGAGCAAACTTTTGTGGAGCAGGTGATGGTCATGTTCTCCGGGCTCTCGTACTGACTGGTCACTCCATAGAAGGCCCCGGTTTCATCCTGAATGTTGCAGTTTAAGTCAGCCTATGAACCAATGAGATCGAAGCTTTAATTATCAAATTAATTTAAAAGAAATCTATATCAGAACAAATGGATAGATTTACTGACATATAACATTCAATACAAAACTGCCATCTAGTGGAGTTTGTAAGCACAGCAACAACAACAACAACAAAAAACTACAGTATATGGAAAATTTTCAGGACTTAAATTTCAGTTTGGAGCATCACATACAGTACAACTTGTATGGACGACTTTTATAATTATTTTATTGTGTTTTTGTGTGGACCGTCTGCAATATTTCGGTGTTCCATGTAAGAAAAAAGTCAAGCAGGTTTGGAAGAACATGAGGGTGAGTATATGTTAATTTTCAGATTAACTATCCCTTTAAGACTGCATTATCCTTATGCTAAACTACCAATCAAGGCTATTTCTCCATATTAGTCTATTCAAGTATTAAATAAAAGACTGTGTCTAAGGTTAGAAAGAATAGATTAAATAACTTGGAGTAAAAAGGCACTCAGAAAAAATTCTGAAAAAGAGCGGAAAAAAGAACAGCTCGCTCTCTGCTCTTTCACTAAGCGAACACGATTTTCATTACAGAGAGAGCTCAAATATTCATTTCTGGCATACTCTCTTTTCATTAAGACAAGCCTGTTACATTTTCACATCATATTCAAGAGAGGCATTATTGTGCAGATCCAGAGTTTCATTTGAAATTCAGATCCCTCCGTCACTTCAAACGGAATTTGAGCAGCCTCGCTCCGACCACGGCGAGGCCCACTTTGTTGGTTGCCGCTAGTTAGCATTTTACAAAATGCACACAATGTTTGAATAGCTATTAGAGGAGCAACCAGGTCATCCAATTGTTTCCCGATATTAAACGGAATAAGTGCGAGCTTTGATCATGTACTCTTCAGCTATGCCGTGCCAAATATAGCAGCGGCGGTCTGGACATGCAAACAGAGACGGCTGTCTTTAAACCTAAAGTGGCCCAGTGTCTTTAGGGAAATGCACAATTATTCATGCATGTAATCACTCGGTGGATAAATATTTGCGTTAAATAGGCAGTTGTATGGGTGGTAAACATGAACTGCGCTCTCATTAGAGAAGAAACCTTGGCACAGGGTGGGCATGCATTACACAGCACTCTACGAACATGTTTGTTTTTAAGTTATGTTATATTATATTATATATTTCAATAATAATCATACTAAGTTCTTCCTGGACTAATTGTGAGTTACGATATCTTCTTTTGCAGATAATTGCAGGGTCTGTGAATCACTAAACAGATGCTCGTTCTTTGCTGGGATTCACTCACCCAGAACTTTATGAGAAAGAATGAATTCTGAGGACCCTTGCCAAACAATTCCTTCAGCCCTCCTTTCTTCTCAGGGAATTTGTCGTAAATCTGACGAATATCCACCGACTCGAGCAAGGCATCGTTGTAAGAGTGATTTGTCTGACCGATGTGCACGAAAAGATGCTTGTTATACTGCACAGAAAAAAAGAAGAACAAAGAAAACATTAGAAACAGGAAACCTTCTCAAAATGACTGCAAGTACTTGATTGTTTAGTTGTATAACTAGGGATATCAATCTATTCAATATTGTAAATACATTTATTTCTTGATATGTTGAATAAGTAAGCTAATTAATCATGAATAATCATCAAATAACAATATTTGGTGAGAAAATCCCCTGTAATGTAGACAATTCACATACATGTCATCATTGATGCAGACAATGAGTTGTTGCTAACAAGAAGTTGTTGAATAGACATGACAAAAAGGTCTATGTTCATTTATAAAAAAATTACAATTTATAAACAATAATCTTGATGCTAATTTATACATACAAATGTTCAGAGTTAAATCGTGTTTGTTCATACTACATTATCTAATGATAATTTATACAACCTGACAGTTACAGTTAAAGTTACTCTTTAATTCAAATTGTTAGTTTTATTTCTTCTGTATATAATTTAACATAAGTATATCACTGGCATACAGGCCACAGCGATAGACTTTCAATTAGGTTTCTTTAGGAGTCATTCACTTAAGTACCACAGTATATAAAAAAATATCAGTATCACTACAATAGTATTTTACTATGGTACAGAAACAATACTTTTTTGTTACAAAAAATATATATTAACAACTCACTTTCAGTGTATTTTGGAGACAATTAATTGGTTAAACCAATTTATCTGATATTCAAAGAGCAAAAAAAAAAAAACATTTTTTTCAATCAGGAATATATTAAATTGTGAAAAGTAGGCATTGCATACTAGAATTCATACTAGAATGTGTGTTTTCAGTTAATTGTAGAGGACTCCTATCTGAAAACACCCCCTTTTGACTGGGAGGATCTAGGTCAATGATGAATCATGCACAATAAGACCAGGAATCTGTATTAAGAAGTAAACCGGCTCCATTTTTATTTTAATTTTTATTTTAAGAGTGACATACAGAAGCTACTCACAGAATCTGGATCTCTCTGGTGCTCCAGAAAAGCGGAGAATTCCACAAGCCTGAGTTTCGATGTGCCAATAGATCGGCCCTGCCAGGCGGGAACTGTGGGCGCCGGTGCTGTCGCGGGCTCATAACCTACACACACACACACACACACACACACACACACACGCACACTCTGAATATTAGCTCTTCTAGTGTTAAATCTGAATAGATAACAAAAAAAAGGCACACGTTGACATACTTGAGATTGTAGTTGTGACAGCTGGCTGGATAGGGTACGCTTGCTGGGCAAATGGCTTAATGCTAAAACAAAGACAAAGGAGAACCAAGAACAGGAAAATGAGCAGTCTAGCGGCACTACATACTGAAGAGATTAAGAGGGTTATACAGCAAAGAAGAAACAAAGCTGCACAAAGTATTCAAACTTGGATTCAACCCATCATTGCCTCTGGACAGGCTTCCTCTATTGCTGATCCCTCTGAGGGAAAGAGAGAAAGCTGGAAGGGTCAGGGAAAATACAGATATCAAGAAGACGAGAACGACAATAAAGCAGACAAAACAGAGACAGAAAGAATAAATAAGATTTGCATTTCCTGAAGGAAATACCAGTGCTTGCAAGGAGAGCAAAAGAAACACATACAAGTTAGCAGAGAATAAAAAGGTTCAGAGGATGTTGCAGACAATGAAGAATATGAAAAAGAATAAGAAGCTGCGGATGAAGACGGTGAAGAAGATGCAGAAGAAGAAAAAGCATGAAATTATGAGCAGCCTACCTGAACAGTTAGACTGAACAGTGGGACAGTTAGATTGAACAGCTAGACTGAACAGTGGGACAGTTAGAATGAACAGTTAGACTGAACAGTGGGACAGTTAGAATGAACAGTTAGACTGAACAGTGGGACAGTTAGAATGAACAGTTAGACTGAACAGTGGAACAGTTAGACAGTTAGACTGAACAGTGGGACGGTTAGAATGAACAGTTAGACTGAACAGTGGGACAGTTAGAATGAACAGCTAGACTGAACAGTGGGACAGTTGAATTGAACAGCTAGACTGAACAATGGGACAGTTAGACTGAACAGTGGGACAGTTAGAATGAACAGTTAGACTGAACAGTGGGACAGTTAGAATGAACAGTTAGACTGAACAGTGGGACAGTTAGAATGAACAGTTAGACTGAACAGTGGGACAGTTAGAATGAACAGTTAGACTGAACAGTGGGACAGTTAGAATGATAAGTTAGACTGAACAGTGGGACAGTTAGAATGAACAGTTAGACTGAACAGTGGGACAGTTAGAATGAACAGTTAGACCGAACAGTGGGACAATTAGACAGTTAGACTGAACAGTGGGACGGTTAGAATGAACAGTTAGACTGAACAGTGGGACAGTTAGAATGAACAGCTAGACTGAACAGTGGGACAGTTGAATTGAACAGCTAGACTGAACAATGGGACAGTTAGACTGAACAGTGGGACAGTTAGAATGAACAGTTAGACTGAACAGTGGGACAGTTAGAATGAACAGTTAGACTGAACAGTGGGACAGTTAGAATGAACAGTTAGACTGAACAGTGGGACAGTTAGAATGAACAGTTAGACTGAACAGTGGGACAGTTAGAATGATAAGTTAGACTGAACAGTGGGACAGTTAGAATGAACAGTTAGACTGAACAGTGGGACAGTTAGAATGAACAGTTAGACCGAACAGTGGGACAATTAGACAGTTCGACTGAACAGTGGGACAGTTAGAATGAACAGTTAGACTGAACAGTGGGAAGGTTAGAATGAACAGTTAGACTGAAAAGTGGGACAGTTAGACTGAACAGTGGGACAGTTAGAATGAACAGTTAGACTGAACAGTGGGACAGTTAGACTGAACAGTGGGACAGTTAGACAGTTAGACTGAACAGTGGACAGTTAGAATGAACAGTTACACTGAACAGTGGGACAGTTAGAATGAACAGTTAGACTGAACAGTGGGACAGTTAGAATGAACAGTTAGACTGAACAGTGGGACATTTAGACTGAACAGTGGGACAGTTAGAATGAACAGTTAGACTGAACCGATAGACTGAACAGTGGGACAGTTAGACTGAACAGTGGGACAGTTAGAATGATAAGTTAGACTGAACAGTGGGACAGTTAGACAGTTAGACTGAACGGTGGGACAGTTAGACTGAACAGTGGGACAGTTAGACAGTTAGACTGAACAGAGGACAGTTAGAATGAAGAGGGGGACAGTTAGACTGAACAGTGGGACAGTTAGATTGAACAGCTAGACTGAACAATGGGACAGTTAGACTGAACAATGGGACAGTTAGACTGAACATTCGGACAGTTAGACTGAACAGTGGGACAGTTAGAATGAACAGTGGGACAGTTCGACTGAAAAGTGGGACAGTTAGACAGTTAGACTGAACAGTGGGACAGTTAGAATGAACAGCTAGACTGAACAGTGGGACAGTTAGACTGAACAGTTAGACTGAACAATGGGACAGTTAGATTGAACAGCTAGACTGAACAGTGGGACAGTTAGACTGAACAGTGGGACAGTTAGATTGAACAGCTAAACTGAACAGTGGGACAGTTAGACTGAACAGTGGGACAGTTAGACTGAACAGCTAGACTGAACAGTGGGACAGTTAGACTGAACAGTTAGACTGAACAATGGGACAGTTAGATTGAACAGCTAGACTCAACAGTGGGACAGTTAGACTGAACAGTGGGCCAGTTAGATTGAACAGCTAAACTGAACAGTTGGACAGTTAGATTGAACAGCTAGACTGAACAGTGGGACAGTTAGATTGAACAGCTAGACTGAACAGTGGGACAGTTAGACTGAACAGTTAAGACTGAACAATGGGACAGTTAGATTGAACAGCTAGACTGAACAGTGGGACAGTTAGACTGAACAGTGGGACAGTTAGACAGTTAGACTGAACAGTGGAACAGTTAGAATGAACAGCTAGACTGAACAGTGGGACAGTTAGACTGAACAGTGGGACAGTTAGACTGAACAGTTAGACTGAACAATGGGACAGTTAGATTGAACAGCTAGACTGAACAGTGGACAGTTAGAATGAACAGGGGGACAGTTAGACTGAACAGTGGGACAGTTAGATTGAACAGCTAGACTGAACAATGGGACAGTTAGACTGAACAGTGGGACAGTTAGACTGAACAGTGGGACAGTTAGAATGAACAGTGGGACAGTTCGACTGAACAGTGGGACAGTTAGACAGTTAGACTGAACAGTGGGACAGTTAGAATGAACAGCTAGACTGAACAGTGGGACAGTTAGACTGAACAGTTAGACTGAACAATGGGACAGTTAGATTGAACAGCTAGACTGAACAGTGGGACAGTTAGACTGAACAGTGGGACAGTTAGATTGAACAGCTAGACTGAACAGTGGGACAGTTAGACTGAACAGTGGGACAGTTAGATTGAACAGCTAAACTGAACAGTTGGACAGTTAGATTGAACAGCTAAACTGAACAGTGGGACAGTTAGACTGAACAGTGGGACAGTTAGATTGAACAGCTAGACTGAACAGTGGGACAGTTAGACTGAACAGTGGGACAGTTAGATTGAACAGCTAGACTGAACAGTGGGACAGTAAGACTGAACAGTGGGACAGTTAGATTGAACAGCTAGACTGAACAGTGGGACAGTAAGACTGAACAGTGGGACATTTAGACTGAACAGTTAAGACTGAACAATGGGACAGTTAGATTGAACAGCTAGACTGAACAGTGGACAGTTAGAATGAACAGGGGGACAGTTAGACTGAACAGTGGGACAGTTAGATTGAACAGCTAGACTGAACAATGGGACAGTTAGACTGAACAGTGGGACAGTTAGACTGAACAGTGGGACAGTTAGAATGAACAGTGGGACAGTTCGACTGAACAGTGGGACAGTTAGACAGTTAGACTGAACAGTGGGACAGTTAGAATGAACAGCTAGACTGAACAGTGGGACAGTTAGACTGAACAGTTAGACTGAACAATGGGACAGTTAGATTGAACAGCTAGACTGAACAGTGGGACAGTTAGACTGAACAGTGGGACAGTTAGACTGAACAGTTAGACGGAACAATGGGACAGTTAGATTGAACAGCTAGACTGAACAGTGGACAGTTAGAATGAACAGGGGGACAGTTAGACTGAACAGTGGGACAGTTAGATTGAACAGCTAGACTGAACAATGGGACAGTTAGACTGAACAGTGGGACAGTTAGACTGAACAGTGGGACAGTTAGAATGAACAGTGGGACAGTTCGACTGAACAGTGGGACAGTTAGACAGTTAGACTGAACAGTGGGACAGTTCGACTGAACAGTGGGACAGTTAGACAGTTAGACTGAACAGTGGGACAGTTAGAATGAACAGCTAGACTGAACAGTGGGACAGTTAGACTGAACAGTTAGACTGAACAATGGGACAGTTAGATTGAACAGCTAGACTCAACAGTGGGACAGTTAGACTGAACAGTGGGACAGTTAGATTGAACAGCTAAACTGAACAGTTGGACAGTTAGATTGAACAGCTAGACTGAACAGTGGGACAGTTAGATTGAACAGCTAGACTGAACAGTGGGACAGTTTGACTGAACAGTGGGACAGTTAGACTGAACAGTTAAGACTGAACAATGGGACAGTTAGATTAAACAGCTAGACTGAACAGTGGGACAGTTAGACTGAACAGTGGGACAGTTAGACAGTTAGAATGAACAGCTAGACTGAACAGTGGGACAGTTAGACTGAACAGTGGGACAGTTAGACTGAACAGTTAGACTGAACAATGGGACAGTTAGATTGAACAGCTAGACTGAACAGTGGGACAGTTAGACTGAACAGTGGGACAGTTAGATTGAACAGCTAAACTGAACAGTGGGACAGTTAGACTGAACAGTGGGACAGTTAGATTGAACAGCTAGACTGAACAGTGGGACAGTTAGACTGAACAGTGGGACAGTTAGATTGAACAGCTAGACTGAACAGTGGGACAGTTAGACTGAACAGTGGGACAGTTAGATTGAACAGCTAGACTGAACAGTGGGACAGTTCGACTGAACAGTGGGACAGTTAGTTTGAACAGCTAGACTGAACAGTGGGACAGTTAGACTGAACAGTGGGACAGTTAGATTGAACAGCTAGACTGAACAGTGGGACAGTTAGACTGAATAGTTAAGACTGAACAATGGGACAGTTAGATTGAACAGCTAGACTGAACAGTGGGACAGTTAGACTGAACAGTCTAACTGTCCAATTATGGACAAAGAAAAGAAAGTGCAGATGAAGACAAAGAAGAAGAAGATGCAGAAGAACAAGAAGATGCAGATGAAGAAGAAAATGAAGCAGAAGAAGAAGAAGGTGGTGAAGAAAGTGTAGAAAAAGAAAGTGAAGAAGAATAAGAAGATGCAGAAAAAGAAAGTGAAGAAGAAGAAAGTATAACAAAAAGAGGTAGGTGAAGAAGCAGCAGCAGCAGAACAAGAATGTTTGATGTGCCTTACATGCACTGTAATACGAGGAATAGCTTTACTGGGACAATGGTAGCAAAACTTCTAGAGATACTCACTCTTGTGAGGATCCAGGCTGGCCCGTGGATATCATGCCCTGCCAAAACTAGAGAATAAGATAAATAAATAGACAACAAAACACAGGCTATCCACACGCACACACACCCTCTGTGCACTCTAGATACACGAGTTATCACATTGCCATTGAAAAACGAGGTGTACTATGTGCCATGCAGTCTAGTTATCTTGAGTGTGGCATTAGTGGGCTTATCTGATGAAGGCAGGTGATGGGCCAGAGCTCTGAGGGTGTGTAATGGGATTGGACCCGGTGGCCAGCCGTGTGGCTGAAGTAAGTGTACTGATAGGTGGGTGCCAGAGGGCGGTCTTACCCCTGCTGCTCCGGGGAAGGCAGGACGCGGGATGCCCGGAAGACCCAGTTTGTTGTGGATGGCTGTTGCAGAGACGATCTGAGCCGAGGACATGGAGGCCATACTCTGAAGAGCTTTGTCCTTCACGCTCTGATCCTTTAATAGCATTTACAAAAGAAATGAAAACTCATAAACGGAAGGACACGGTGAGCTAGGGGTTAAACTGTTTCTGCAAAAAAACACGGTTCATTACACACGTTTGTACCACGATTCATCTCATGTCTTTCAAGTCTGAGAGACTGAGACCGGTGTAAATGCTTGCTTCTTGAATTGTTTTTCTAATTTATGACAAATAAATGTTCCTGATAACATTTTCCAAATAAGATTTTTTATGTTTTTGAAAGTTTCTTATGCTCACCAAGGCTGCATTCATATGATCCAAAAAAACTGTAAAACAGTAATACCGTGAAATTGTATTACAATTTAAAAGAACTGTTTTCAATTTGAATATAATTTAAATGTAATATATTCCTGTGATGGCAAAGCTGAATTTTCAGCAGCATAATAGTCAGAAATGTTTCTTGAGCAGCAAATCATCAAATTAGAATGATTTCTGAAGGATCATGTGACCCTGAAGACTGGAGTAATGATGTTGAAAATTCAGCTTTACAGGGAATAAATTACATTAAAACATTAAAGTAGAAAACAGTTCTTTTAAATTGTAATAATATGCCCCAATATTACTGATTTAACTGTATTTTTGAACAGACAAACCAATATAAGAGACTTCTTTGAAACACATTTTAAAAAATCATAATTATTCCAAACTTTTGACCGGTACTGAAAGTACAAATTATCGGCCTAACAATTGGAGTGAAAATTTAATTGAAAAATAAAATGCAATATATATATTTTTTTACTTTCCACTTAAATTGTTAGGTTAATAATATGAAAATTTTGTAATAAATTAGAACATGCAATAAAACTGTGAATCCAATACAGTGATGTTCACTGCGATAACAGGTCATCCTGCAATAATGACACTGAGAGTGAATATTTGTGATGGTAACTAATTATCACAAACAATACAAGAGTTCAAATATTTCTATATTTACTGGATAAAAACTGTGACCACAGAACCGTGGTACAAACCGAACCGTGAGACATTGGAAACCATCACCCCCACTACAGTGAACACAGACCATGGGAATATAAAGCAGCCCACGCGCTCACACACAGATCCACAGATAAGAAAGCATGTTAAAAGATTCTTCAGAGCTATAAAGCCGTTGATTTCAGGAAGTCTGAAAAGAGCGAAAGCCTCCAGCGCAGAGAACGGGAGATTATAATGTTTAATATCGAGCGCAGAGTGAATGAGAAGTGAATTTAATGTTATATATTATCTTGCAGCTCCTACATTTCTAATAAACTGCATTGTGTCAGTCGGGAACAAGGTTAAAGTAATGCTAACTTTCTTCTTTTTTTTTTTGCTGTGTGTAATGTTCTCATTTTAAAAGCTCCAATCAAGGTCACCAAACGGAGCTGAAACAGTACAGATGAACGCATTAGAGAAAAGTGCCTGAAGGACATCACTTTCTCCTTTACACATCCTCCTTGTTATTTTCACAAGGAGGCTAAAGACGATTTCTGAATATAGAGTTTAAATTACTCAAGGAATGTCTGTGCATAGACACATTTCTAAAACTGTTAATTTAATTAACAAAGCTAAAGTGTGTTTGTCTAATTTCTACAAAGGCAAACATTCCACGTGCTTATTGTATAGTGTGCATGGCCATATCAGGATGGAAGTCTGATATAGCCAGTGAATGGAGCAGAACTGCATTGAAAAGAGTGAAAAGTGGGCATAAGCGGAGGATGAACATGCTGGGAGTCACGGCTCACGTACGAGAGAGTTAGAGCTGGCTTAGAGAGAGGCGGAGAGACTCAGAGCAGGAGTTTAGCAGCTGCTATACAGTGACGGCGACACATTGATGCACAGTCAAGAGCACTGAGGACTCGTACTTACCATGCTTGTCACCTAAATGCAAACAAACAAGGTTACATTGTCAATTTCCAATTTGCACTCTTGAGCAAGTTAATTCAAACAATGTATGAGTGTGCTGAGAGACTTGTGACAAGTTCACAGATTTATAGATCCGATTCACAAATTAATTCCTGCTGAAAGACCAGCATGAAATGTGTTTTGGGTGTCAGGCTTCTTAAGTAGTTTAATATGGTTAGACAGATTCCACCAAGCTTCACCAGCTAACACCGTGTTCACACCAGCCTCGTATAGCATGCCGCGACACGCAAATCTAGGCTGCTTCAAATAAAATCAACCGAGCTGCATAATTTTGACATGGTGCATTATGGTCATTTTATTCCTCCTTTCCGTCTAAAATGGAATGATTTTATTTACAAATATCATATCATGAATTGACGACTATTTTCTGTCATGACAACTCTCTGAGAGATTTGCATGGTACTAGAGATTGGTTAATGTATTTGGTCTTGGCGGAATAGATCTGCTACGCTGCTGCTGCTGTACCGAGACTTGCTACTGCCAATACACACACAGACATTGCTGTGAGCATGTAAGGCTATGTTTACACGGAAACGATCTGAAGAGAAAACGTAAAAGTGGCGTGGCGTTATCACTTTTTATTCTACGTTTAGACGAGCGTTATGGGTGGGAAATCCGCGTGCATATGGTGACGCAAAAGTGTGTGAAATTCGATGTAGTAAAGTCTGCGCGCCTGCGTACAACCTTCACTGTCTAGCAGACTTTTGCGTTTTTACCCTTTAGACGGGAACGCGACGGGGGAGCGTTTTTAAGATTTCCACTCTGGAGGGTGGTTTCACTTTTTTGCGTTTTTAAAGGGTAACTAAACACTAAACCAACTTTTTTTAATTAATGATCTGTAAGACTGGGGCTTTATTAATGCTGTTCATTGATTCGAGTAACTTTTTTGACATTTGGGTATAAAGTGTTTTAATTCTACAATATATGGTGTAAAAACGTCTGAGTGCTGCCCTCTTCAGGTTGAACGGTGGCTACTGCACTTGAATTTTCCTATTGGATGTTTGCGGTAGTTTGTGACGGTAGCGGTGAGAGCTGACGTAAGCAGGTTTCAGCTTACCACGCCCTTGGTACGAGCTACCACGCCCATGGCAGTATAAAAACATCTTGTTTCGTCAAAACCACTGTAGCGAGTCAGGAGTTGGGATTGCGAGTATTGAAAACGATCAGGATAGAGTATCCGTTCATCCCCTCTATCTCCGCTGGGCTCCGCCCACTTTTCCAGCATTTTTCAAATATTGCCAGTGGGTGGAGTCAGGCTCTGACCAGGGGTTTAGTTACCCTTTACGCGCCAAAAACACCGTCGCCATGTAAACGAAAATAAAATATTTTTACGTTTTCAATCGGGAGCGTTCTCGTGTAAACAGGGCCTAAGACATGCTTCTGCTGCTGCACATGTGACATACATGAAATAACCCCCATAGCAGATCTATACAGGTGGAGCTGGGGAAGGTGGAGGGTTTCAGAAAACTGCAGACTGCTAACAGCAATGTTGAATGTTGAGTCGCAGCTCATTGGCCGCTGATGCAACAGCAACCAATCAGCTGTTCAATGTTGATAATGATTTGATCGCTACCAAATGAGTTAAAGACCCATCAGCCTGCGCCATCTAGAGTTTCATCTCAGAACGAGGTATTCACTATATACTTAAACTTTTGACTGTTGCTTGTGACCACTTCTATATGAATTTTTAACATTATGAAAATTGTTTCGCTAACCTCAACAGTTTGTCTCCTTGCGCATGTATTTTTGATAAAATGAAGTAGGAAACAAATAAACCAATTTTATTTAAAAGTCTCAAGTTTCCCAAAAGTATCGTTAGCCAACTATGGTTGCATATTCAATCGTTATTCAACAATTCCGAAACCACAGTTCCAACGAACATATATACATGAACAGCTCTCGTCCTGCGCTTAGAAGCATCTAGTTTCTTGTTGTTAAGACATGCAGACTTACATAGTTCATGCTTTTGGGCACAATAAGCAAGCTAACATGAGGTACATTGCATATTTTTCAATCAATTTATATATATATTAGCGTGTCAATAATCAGTGGCGTTCATGTGTGTGACGTAAGAGGGATCTCACAATGAATCAATAAAGCAAAATGACAGGAATCAAAAATAGTGAAGTGTATGTCAATTAAATACTGCATGTTAACATGATTAAAAACAAATGGTTTTTTTGTTGTTTGTTTAAGGTGGGCCCAAATCCATTACATTTTTAAAACAGCAATATCCTATACTAAACCTAAACTAATCTTGACAAACTATATATCATTTGAAACCTTACAATCTCTAGTTTCCATATTTGGTGATTGATTTTCAAAATGAATTACATAGGAGCCATAATTTATCAATTTGCAACAAGAATATTTTCATACTCCTAAGGCGCGTTTAGACCTTTATTTTGAAATAGTGATGAACATGAAAAATCATGAAAGAAGGGTAGAAACCTCAGTTTGTTTTCATGCCAAGAGTTCAAAAGATAGCATCCATTCAATTATTTTAGAAAAAAAGGTCTGAAAATTGTTTAAATATAAAGAAAAAAATTATAGATTCACCATTTGTGATGTGGCAGGAAGCTATAACGCACATACTTGTTCTTTTTGTGTTTCTTAGAGGTTGAATTCATATCAAAATCTGCCAAACTTCTCATATTACTTCTGAATAGGATGTCTACTTCATAAATTGTTTGAAAATTGTGGAAATAATGGTTCGGATCACTCAAAACACGTATGGAAATTGAGGCGCCCTTATATGGGCAGTAATGGAGTCTGGTTGTCATCTAGTGAAAAAGTTTGGTACTGCGCCCAAACAAAATCTTAATGAAAGCTAATTTTTTGAGATATCAACCTAAAATTAGAAACACAACTTGTTCAGATTTTTGACTTTGATTTTTTTTTTGCAGTTTTAGATTTTTTTTACATTGTACATTTTCATAAACTCAAACTTCTATAACTTTTTTTCTGTTTCACTTTCTTAATTTATTTCACTTCTACAAAAATCTGCCAAATGTCTTCTTTAAAACGAGACCAATCTTACGTCTATATTCCAAAGCATTCTTGAATTACAACCTTTTAAGTTTGAAATGTGCATTTTCATGTATATTCAAAAAAAGAGGGGTGACACTTAAAGGGTTAAATTAACTATAATATGACATTATCACTACACCATCTGTGCATTATGTTATTAACGACAGTTATATATTGTTGAACCAACTTGGCTCAAACGACAGAGGTGCAACCATGTTACTACAGTTTTGGGAAACAGTCGTGAGCTATATTTAATTTCTCTAATGATGCATCATACTATAATGGTAGTTAAGCAGCGAGTTGAACAACGCGATTGAAGTCGCCATCAGCTGGTGAACAGGGTGCTGACCAGTATAGAACTAGTTCTAACCATCATAAACTACAATTGAAACCGATGCTGGTCTAAGCTGGTCTTTTCATCAGGGATATAACACAATGACTGAATAAATCATTTTTATTTTATAAATGTGATTTTAGTGATATCCTCCCCATGATATGCTAAGCCCTCTGGAGTCACACTGCACATGCTAATAGTAAAACCAAGATTAAGGAGTCAGTGTGAGTGCTGGTCAAGCAGATGAACTGCAGAAAGCATCTTTAGGGAAGATTTATAGCTGATAATATGGCAGTTTGAGATTACTGTGGCTAGGGTTTCATTACAGACCAGCTCAAAGAGGGGCACCATAATGACAGTCATTTTAGTCAACATGTCTCAGATAAGAGCACACTGGGCAGGTTTACTATAATGCTACGCTGCAAATGGCAGGAGGGAGCTCAAATTCTTCCCCGCTCCTGATTTCTAATTTGCTTTAGATGAGAGTAGACAGAGACCCATACAAAAGCTGGCTGTTTTTACTCAGGCAGCCGCCAGTGTCCCTGAAAGACCAGCCATTCATGGCGGAAATGCACACAGACGCTCCACTAGGCACACACACACATACACTGGGGGAGTCATTAATCTATCTGAGTAAACTGGGAACTGTGGAAAAGTGTGCTGGTCAAAAGGAGTTAGTCATCACCTCACAAAAAGAAAGAGAACGAAACAGAAGGAGATCGAGAAGTCAGACCAACCTCAAGGTCTTTTCAGTAAACACAGACATTAGGAAATGACCCTTGCAGATGTATCTTAAATGACAGGTCAATTTATTATCAGATTATCCCTTCCACAAAAGGCCCCTTTTTTTGTAAGCCGCAGCCTTTGTGGATGAGATGCATTTGATGTAAGGTGATTATATGCAGCACACTTTGCTGTTTATATGGCTGAATCACACAGGGGGGGTGTTTGGAAATGGTAGGAGAGAATGTGGTGGTGGTGGGGGGGATGATTTCAGTAGTTTCATTAATGCAGCATGAGGAAAGCGTTTGACGGCCAGTGGGTTATTGAAAAAAAAAAAAGCCAAGAGAAAGAGCGAGAAGAGAGGGGAACGCCACAAAAAGCATCTGAGCGACGGCCCTAATGGGGCTCTTTGGGCCAGACTTCTTGTGCAGAGCGTTTGGGAAGAACAGATGACCTCATTAAACTTCAGAAGAGATAAAGGCAAAAGCAGCGCTGGTTTTACTCTAGACTGTGCTCTTCCTGTAGTCATGTGGCCGCTCGTGTTGTTTAAGCAGTGACCAGAATCCAGCTGAACTCTGACCTCCAGCTCTCAGCCACTCTCACCAGCTGAAGCGAACTGCCAGCATGAGACACTCCACACACGACACACACACACACATGCAAACACAACACAAGAGAAATGCATTCATGCGACCAGCGAAGTGCATTGTGCTTTTGAGGCTTTGTTTTGTCATATAATGGTTCTCAAATGTGTACCTCTTTAAAGCAGTTCTTTTTCTCATTCTAGTTTAATTTGCAGAGGCAACTATAAGCCATTCGAAGGTTGATGTCCGGAAAATGTAAACACTGTGACTGTGTCACTATCATTGACAGTAACACTGACTCAACCAATGGTGTTAGTTCGGAGGCAGGGCTAAATGTTTGCCTGACCAATGGCAGACAGCGGGACTGTTTTGGAAATCTTAGGAACCTAAAGGCTCGTACACACCGGGACGAATATCGGCTCGCGTTATTCGTCAGCGTTTTTCAACGCGTTTTTTGTGTTCACACCCAAGCGATTTTCGCTGACGATTAACCGAGTGAACATGCAAATTCATTCCCTGACATTAGATGGCGCTTAATGTAAAACAGAAATAGTCCTATTATATTTTGTAGTCGCTGTCGCGTTTGCCATATAGTTCTTTATGTTCCGACACCAACGAGACCAGCAGCAGCTCTACATTCATCTTGCCTTGCATCTTCTAGGGCTGCACGATTAATCGAATTTTAATCACGATCACGATTTTGGCTTCCCACGATCAAATTCGCGTGATCGAGCGATATTTTAAATGCGTCATTCAGTTCACAGAAAGCTTTTTTTTTGCCAATCTAGCGCACCGTAAACCAGTGTCTGATCACGTGCCTCCATGAGCCCAGGTGCGCGAGAGAGACCTACGGTCTGCGTGCGAGCGACAGTGCACGAGAGAGACCGCGAGTGTGTCTGCGTGCGAGCAACAGCGCGCGCCTACCGATTGTGTCGCGCGCGAGAGAGACTGAGTGACAGTGCGCGTGAGAGACCGAGTGTGAGCATTAGTAAATTGCATTAGTAAATTGGTACATACTACATATATATATTTACTATTTATACCATGGTCTGGGTGAATACTCGATTCTGATTGGCTGCAGGGTGTCCGTTAAAAAGTGATAGAGGACACCTAAAGTAGTTCTGGTGAAACTGCCTGTTTACCATTCGAAATTAATAAATAAATGCGCTGCCTACAACAGCTGTGTAAGTAACCATAGCAACAGGCAGTCAACGTTAGTTAGATATTACATAGCCTACTACAATGAGCGACTTCGTTCGTTATTTCATCTTCAGTCTCTCACGGACTGACGGAGCCCAGTAAGCCCGCAGACTGCTCTCGCATCGATGGCCTGTCACCGACTTTATTTGACGGCTCTCCAGTCCAGCATCGGAGAGTCGACCTACAGCGGTGCTTCGGAGGCTGTGGTTAGTGTAGACTAGTGTAACACAAAGTGTTTTATGTGCAATAAAAAAATAACTATGCCTACCTTTGTGTTTCATGAAAAAAAAAAATGCATTTTTGAACCTGAAGGGTTCTACGAGCTGAGCGGACTATAAATATCTCAAGTTGCTAAATAAATCGTCAGGCAAGTTATTATTTAAAAAAACTAGATTTAGCCTAATTAAAATATAAACTAATGTTTTAAAAATGTTTTATTTGGCAAGTGACCATGGTATAAGCGGGTTAATGCCCTTCGAGGTGACCGTTGTCAGGTTTTAATGGACTTCGGCGGAGGCAACCGTCCTCCGCTGCGCGTCGGCCGGTTTACACCTCGCCGTCGTCCATTAAAACCTGACAACGGTCACCTCGTCGGGCATTAACCCTTACATAAGAGGCATGGAAGTTCGATTAATGGACTCCAATAATCAGTCCTACAAACGTCTTGTTTTGACCTATTGTTTAACAAATAGAAATAATTTGAGCACATAAACTTTCACATGGAGAATTAAATAGATTAAATTTATGCAGTAAGACTTCACAACTAATCACTGACACTGTAGGCCTACCACAACATTTTACATTTATTAAGCGTCAAATAACAATGACTCTGAATTTCATCCATTAATCGAACTTCCACAGTGCAGTTCTGCCTTGAAATGTTCTCATTTGGTTACATTCTGTTATGGAATATTTGTTTTTTTATTGATTGTATATTTTGCGTGTTTTATTCACATCCATTATGCAGGTACAATGCAAGTTTATATTTTGCTTCCTAAAATAGATTTACACAATGTAAAATGTAAAATAGTGCCCTGTTGAAGTTTTGCTACATTTTCTTTATTGTTTTCTTTATTCTTTAAGGAGATGCACTGAATTTTGGTGAATAAGAGGACCTATTTTATTTAGATACACATACATTAGCAGAAATGTAGCACAATATGGATGTGAAAGCAGTTATAATTAGCCTATGTGGCAATAAAATTTGTTTTGGTTAAAATCAACAAATAATCGTGATAATTAATCGTGATCGCAATATTGATCAAAATAATCGTGATTATCATTTTGGCCCAAATCGTGCAGCCCTAGCATCTTCCTCGTCTTATTTCTTCCCGGCAGTGTAGACCATAGATATCCATAATAAAGGCCATTGGCCAGCAGCGCGGACGAGACATCTAGCCTTTATTATGGATATCTATGGTGTGTAGACGCTACTTGGCGTATATCTTCTTCGCCGTTACGTTTGTGTGCTCGGCAAGACCGTTTTGTGTTTGAGCGCCCCCAAGTTGTGTTTTACTGTAACTTCAGAAGCTCCAGACACGTGAGCAAAGGCGCCAATCTCATTGGTCGGATAGTTTTTGACGCGGCGCGTCAAACCAAAAAAACGAACCCGAGGCGTTTTTTTTAAAATAACGTTTTTATGCGTGGCGTTTTTCGTGTCGGTGTGCACACTCACATTGGCACCCTTTGTTTAGTCACGAGGCGTTAAACGTCGGCGAATAACGCGCGCGAAATTCGTCCCGGTGTGAACAGGCCTTAAGGGTGCGTTTACACGACAACAATGTAGTGAAAACTGAAAAGTTTTGCCTTGCAGATGACATCGTCGTCAAAACGGTCCCCGTTCATACACATCTGTGAAAACTGTTAAAAACGCTGTATTCTGCTGTCAGGCCAGTAGGTGGCGATGTCACTTAGTAAAGAAACTCTATGCGCCTATAGACTGAACACGTAATGCTCATGACGTCACCGTTTTCACGAAATCACGTTTTTGCAGTTTACACGGAGGAGATAATGGTGTTGTTTTCGAAAACTTGCGTTTTTGCGTTTTCAGGCACCCAAAACGCCGTTGTCGTGTAAATGAACGGCCAAAATGCATAAAAAGTTTTCCGCTTCGAGTTGAAAACAGCCCCTTAGATTATTTTCTTTTTCTTTTGTGACACTAGCAGCACAGATTACAAACTTCACTTTCATATTATTAAACGTTTATATTGTAGTCGGACACAAATTAGAGATGTTAACAATTCAGTAACCTTAATGTAAATAATATCCGGACTGTTTAGTAAAAAAAAAAAAAACATGCACAGATAATCAGAGTTTTTTATATATGCGTTTATCATAATGCATGTGGAGCTCTTATAATGTAATAAATGCTTATTTATCCAAAAAAATATCCATTTTGTCATTTTATAACCTACCATAAATTCATTTATAATTGAATATATTTTATAGAATATTTACCACTAAGATGGAACCTAAAGATTTAGTTTGTGAACTTCTAAAAATACTGTCCCCAAAATTACAGGGATAGAAAACTGGGATTTACAAAACCTCAGTTCCAAGCCAGTGAGCAGCACAATTTGCTGCATTATGGAACAAACTTAATAGTTGCCTTTTCTCTCCAGAGCTATCGAATTTCACATCCATATTAATTTCCAAAGCATATGCCTCTTTTCAGGTTTGCGGCATGTGCCAACCGTCACTGCACCCCTGCTATATTTAACCAGGAGTCGGCGTGGGACCTCAGAGCACACGCACTTCGTGGTCAGCGAAACACAGAGGAGAAGACGGCCACTGATGAGCGTGAAAGGAGGAATGCACATCGGGGACGGAGTACAGGCGTTGAATTATGTATGTTAAACAGGCCGTCACATGCGAGGGATCTAGGTTACAGGAATTAGAGCAACGAGGCATTCACAGGAAACAGGAAGTGAGACGCATGGCAACCACAAGCCCAAAAGCAGAAAAGCGCATACCTTTAGCTTGGAATGAAATTCACGAGATTTCCTTCTGGCAAGAACCTGAATGTGACTAGACACCTGCGGGGTAGGGGAGGGGAGGAAAACAAAGGAACAGCCTGTAACCATGGCGATGAAAAGCCCCCCTGCAACTGGGCAGAGCCAGACGTACCTTGATGGCAGCTTGGATTTCTCGAACTTTCTTTCTTGCTAAGACCTGTATGTGACTAGACACCTCCGTTTTTCAAAACAAAACGAGAAAAGCAAAAAAGAAAAGAAAGCAATCAAGAATTACAGACATTTTGAACAAGTCAAACATTTGAGGACCGCACCGGCCCGCTCACCTCCTCATTTAAGTGAGCTGATTAAGGAGTATGCAGGCTTCTTAAGCACATTAAGACAGAGCAGATGTGATCTTCTGTGTGCAGAATGAGAATGGCCACGTCTAGTATTCTTCGGGGAGGATAAAGCGAGGGCCCCGGGGCCCTTTAACCGCTGCTCTGCATATTCCACCAAGTCAGAGTTCTGTTTGTGAATTATGCACTAACGGTGTATTAATAGTGATGTGAGGTGGGAGGTTGTGTGATGTCGTAATGAGGCTCGGCTCCGAGGGGTTACGTGGAGAGCGTTCCTCGTCTTAATCAGGCCAATCACGCACAAGTGGCTTTTGAGCGGGACGCGGAGTATTAATGAGGTCGACGGTCTCCGGAGGCCCGCCGCTCTCAACTCTCACGGCAAAGTCACATTTACACATATCTCAGCAGCACAAGTGCTCCTTTGACCTTTCCAAATTAATTACAACAATCACTTCAATGGTTCAGGCTTTGCCAAATGAAATTACAATGGGATCGTTGTGATGTTTCAGCGTTCGGGTCGATTTCTGGGCTTTTCACTTTGCTGCGAATTTTTTTTTTTTTGAAGTGTCAACCAGATTTTTTAGGATATTGTCCGCATAGGTTTGTGCCATTTCTTCCATTATGAATCGTTAGAAAATCGCTTTATGTAAATGCATGTTCTGGGTTAAACACAATGTTAGGTCTGTCAACACAATTTGGGGCATGCTGCCGATTTTGGGTCATTCCTGGTATGCGGTGACTTTTCCTGTCCCAATGATTTATTTACTCATATTTTCTCTAAAATGAGTCACATATTTATAGTAAATGGCTTAAATTGTAGATTTAAGTATTCTTTACCATTTAAACAGAGATAATAGACATTAAAAATACTATTTTGTATTTTACACAATTTTAATTGATGTATGCATTCAATTATATCATGTCCTCAGTGCACAGTTATCAACTTCTGCAATAAATATAAACTATGAAATGACAAAAACCTCAAAATATTTTTTTATTATGTTATAGACTAGGCTAAACTGCCTCTAGTCATACATATAAATCATGTGAAAATATAGGTCTTTTTCTTAAAATTGTCTTCAATTACTGCGTCCCTGAAGTAGTCTTCCACCCTGTTAGTATGTACTTTTTTGCCTTCCAAATCCGACTGCAATTTCATTGAGACCATTTTCAAGAAGTGACTTAATTTCTTTTACCTGCTGGATTTCAACTGTACAAACTGAAGTAAGCTTCAACTCTCACTCCTAACTTTTTTTTTAGTTTTTGAAATGTTATCCTGCTTGTCCCACCCTTAAAGTTCCACCCTGTTGGGCTATGTTATGGAGAATGTTTGTCCTATCAAAAAAAATTAAAAACAAATCTGACAGTTATAAAAGTTATATTTATCTGTAGAAGGTTAGCTAGCTAAATGTTGATCACTCAAAGAGCTATGGCTAATTTAGCTCAAAATTGTCCACCCTGTTAGATTCCACCCTGTTAGGTCTATAAACCTAACAGGGTGGAATGTGAAACATATTCTATTCATCAAAAATTGTTTTGCTTGTTTCAAGAAGACATATACTATCCAAGAAAAGCTCATTATTGTTTAACATTTGCATTATTAACATGTTGCGATAACTATGTATATGTCCCTAACAGGGTGGAATATTTTCATGGACCGTGTCTGAACAAACTACCCATAATTATTATTATAGAGTCCCTGAGCTTGACCAATATGTATTCCTTTTAGTTAAACATGTCACTATTTTGGTAGAATGCTAAAAACATGAAAATCATGTTCTTTTTTTTTCAACACTTATGAAGCCAAAATGTCACCGCATACCAGGAATGACCCTATTACAATTCAGCCCTCAGTTAATAAATCCAAATGTAAAAAGTGTTCACTTCACTTTGCACTTTTCAAACTACTAATTGTAGGAAATGGGCTAGACCAGGTGTACAGGATGGTCACTTATATGACTTAAATGACTTAAAACTTGATAACTTGGTCTCCTTTGGTCACTTTAAGAGGCTAGTAAAGTATCGGGAAGCAGGCACAATGGGCACCTGTCCCTGCTTCCCAAATTAGGATAAGTCAATTGTATTGTAATTTGTTACATTGTATTTCTGACTGTTGTAAGGCCAATGTATTTTTAAGCGTGGCTGATTCATTGCATTGTTAATGTATTATGTCTTGTATGTTTATTGTATTTATTATATTTTGTATTTTATGAGGAACTTTTATTGCGGCCTTCTTGGCCAGGGCTCCTTCGTAAAAGAGACTTGTTCTCAAAGGATTTCCCTGGTTAAATAAGGGTTAAATAATAAATAAAATTATAGACAATGGTCATTATTCTAATATATTAGGCTAAAGCCCCCGACATACTTCAAGCGAAATCAAAGACCGAACTGATGTGACGTCATTTCGAACAAAATCAGGCCCGAAGTTAGTTTGGAGTTGGAAACAGCATGTCAAAGAGAACTTTCTGAAATAAGTAGTATGAATGTAGTTAACTAATGTTAACAAATGGAACATGATTGTAAATTAATACCAATATTTGATTGCTGAATGCAGTAACTGACCAATCAGAATCATTTATTTTAGCGAGTTATATGAGTGAATTTATCAAACAACATCATTCAGTGCAATGTAAGGGTTTGGGTGGATAGGGAACTAGGCAACTGTTTAATTATATTATTTAACAGTCTTAAAACAGTGTGATAATGGTAAGAGATATTCTGCTGCTGTAGTGGTTTACTGTAAACACTTTTCTTGTTTGTTTTAACCAACTGATGGATCAGAGAGCGGCCTAGACACTATATAACCTGGAATATTGACATATCTCATTTAAAACAAGAGGATGTCGTGTATCATGTTCCCTGTCTGCTGTATCTGATAAGAGCTTTGAGACATGGCCCACTGAAGCTGCACCAACACATACAGATCACCATTACACTACAATCAAATGGAGAAACAGATTCATGGATTTAAACAGACATTTCAGTTCTGAACAGGTCATCATTCAAATTGTGTTAGCTAATGTGTGAGTGAATGTGTCTTGATAATAGCTGTAGTTCTGTGGCGTGTTCTCATACAGCTGAATGAAACATCTGCCGGCTGAGGCCAGCGTTCAGGGTCCGTCTCTTCTACAATCGCATTAGCGTTCTTGCGCCCAGCCTGATCGTGCTGCAAAGCTCCATGCTTCTTCACGAGTGGCTATGTGTGTGTGTTCGTGCGGGTGTGTGTGTGTGTGTGCGCGCGTGCATGGGGGTACAACCTTATGTATGTGTGTGAGAGTAGGGGTGGGCAATAAAGAAACACTTCAACCTAGATGCTAGGTGTCCCTCAAATGCCTGTTTCACTCCACAAGCCAAAGCAGCACATATTTTGACAGTGTTCTGAAAAGTGTTTTTCATTACACAATCACAAAATGTGATCACACGAAATACTTGTGCAAACTATCCATTCATTGTTTGAAAAGCACATCTTGGCTTTACAAGGCACACATAATTTCTATTCAGTGAATCTTACTGAAATCTTTCAATAGTTCACAGCTACAGTTTGGCATTTTGGTTCAAGTTGTCAATTGTAGAATATTTTTATTTGCTTTTATATATGAATTAACATAGTAATATATTTATTTTAGTGCTGTCGATATATATATATAAAAAAAGTAATTAATTGCACATTTTTCTGAAATTAATTGTGATTAATCGCACCTAGCATTAAAGTGTTTAATATATTTTTATATTGCACTAATAATTTCCCATTTAAACTCCAAATTAATGTAGAAACAACATAAAGAGAGTAGCCTATATTTTAAATATTTGTTTAATGGCATCTTTTTATGAATGAAAGACATCACTGATACCAATGTCTCTATGAAATTGATTTTTTCTTCTCAATTTTAGCCATTAATTATAGCCATTCAGCATTACAGTATAATTGAAAGCTATAATTTCACAGTTATTAGGGTTTATACAACTTTTCATTCATGTGAACTTTAAACAATCTTCACATAAACCTATTATAATAATAAATGTCACATTTACCTGTGCCTTTCAATATATCAGGACTCAATTTTTTTCTATTTCTATTTTTCTGTTGGCCCAGTCAGAGCCGTTCAGATTTGTATATGCCTTGTCAAAATGCACAAAAAAGTTATTATTTTCATGTTTTTTGACCCATGTAAACAGTGCTTTAAGATTTTTAGGTAGGTCTAACAGGTATAGCCTACAGAAACTGAATAAAGTTATCAAAATTATTAATTCTTATTAAAGCTACAAAAGTTATCCAATCAAGAGCAGTGAGTGTTTTCCTCTTTTTCTTTGATTATCATTAATGACAGACAGCAGCAGGTTTATTAGGCTGCTGTCACTTTAAGAGCTGAAGCACATGACGCGGATCTGACACGCGTCCCATTTTCTCACAACTCTACGTTAATTTAAGACTTCATTTAACTCATTTAACCCTTTGATGCACAACATGGGTCTAAATAGACCCGACTGAGTTTTCATTTTCTATATCTTTGCAAGAAATTAATTTCATCATTCAGTATTCCAGGTATTCCTCAATTAACTTGTTTAAGATCATTACAAATCCTTATTTAAATTTTTCCTTTCTTACTTTTCGAATAAAAATCGTTTTTGTTTCACTACCCTTCTAATGCGCAACATGGGTCTAAAAAGACCCGTATTCATGTTTCTTTGCTGAATATTTGAAATAAATATATTTTATCATTTATTAATCCAGGTATTCATTAAATATCTTGTTTTTGATTTCCACAAATCATTATTTTTATTTTCCCTTTCTTACTTTATAAACAAACACGGTTTTTGTATTTCTACATCGATTTTACACACATGGGTCAAAAATGACCCATATAGGAACCTTTGATATTTATAAATAGTATAAATATATTTACTGCAGAAAACTATTCACCTGCCACACATTTCAAAATTCAACACGGCTGCTTTTGTATATTTCATGCATGTAAGTTTTATTTAATACATTTTTTGTCACAGAAAATATTTGATATTTTGTGAAAGACATCTAGATATAGCCTAAAATTTGAACGTTTAGGCTAAGGTTACCTTGACCTTGAAATCCATTACTAGTGCAAAAGAGAAACATGTCCAATACTATTAGCTAGCTTGCGGTCGACATATTTTATTTTATCTAATGTTAGCTAGGTCAACAAAATAAAAGTTGCGATAGAAAGTTATATATACAAGTATTATATTGGTGCTGTTGGGCAGAAACCTTACCTGGGCAGTACCTCCATATTAATTTTTATTTGTGGTCATAAATCAATGCTATCGGTCACATAAGCTGTCATGTGGTGGCGTTCTGGTGCACTATGGCTGCTGTCGCATCATCCGGGTGGATGCTGCACATTGGTGGCGGGGAGATCCCCCCTACAGTTGCACTACACTACAGTTCAATTTCAGTGTTATCGGTTATATGTGTGTTATGCGTGACAAAGTGGCCAATAAACATATTTTAAGTGTTACAGTAAATGTGTTGATCTAAACAACTGTGACAATGGTTATTTTAACAAAAAGTTTTCTTTATTCTTTTGTTTTATCACGTTTGCATAGATGGGTCATTTTAGACCCATGTGTGTAAACTTGATGTATTTACACAAAACCTAGGAAATATTAAAATATGAATTTGTGATAATTGAAAACAAGATATTTTGAATATTCATAAATCATGAAATTTATAGATCATGAAATAGAAAATGCTCAAATAAAGTGATTTCAAAAGGTGAAACAAAAAAATGCCGAGCCATGCATGAAATAACATAGGAAATGAATACGGGTCTTTTTAGACCCATGTTGTGCATTAGAGGGGGTATCCATAGCTTGCGCATCAAAGGGTTAAGACCGTGCTTGCGAGGATACTCTCTTTTGTGTCTTATCGAGCTTGAATGGTTTAAAAGGATCTGCATGAATAAGAGCGTGATCATATAATGAAACGCTGCCAAAATATTACAGGAAAAATGTTGCGGTAAATCTTTTTAACGCGTTAAAATGAAAAAATTTAATCGCATGCGTTAATTTTGACAGCACTAAATATTATATATATTCTTATAATATGATATCATGATATAAATTTTAAGGATCCTATAATATGCATTTTTCCTTATATTGCCCACCCCTAAGTGGATGTCTTTATTGTGTAAGCTATAAGTTCTCTCTCTGCAGAAGCTCGGATAGCAGGCACAATCAACAGGACTGGCCTTCCCCCATTTAGTGGCATGCATGCAAGACCACGGATTCTCTTACCTGTTTCCGTGTCCTTGTCTTCCCAGTTCTGAGTTTAATGTATCTGGCAATCAACTCATTCCGACCTAGGGAAAGACAAAAGATGAGATGTGTTAATGTCAAATGTGTGGAGATGTGTAATGCTGTAAATTCAATTACCCAAATCAAAGCAGAAATGCGAGCCAATGAGCCAAAATTTCTACCACCTCAATTGTTCCCACTATATCAGCAACATGTAGCAATCTTTCCCCCAGTGAATAAACAAACACGCCTAATTTAAATGAAAACTTGGCTGTGAGTGCCATTTCCATGAAAATAGCCCAACAAATCTACAGCTTTTCAATTTGATCTAATTTAATCCCAATTTCTTCAAAGCCTCATGCTATGAAAAGAAACAGATCCAGACATTCATATGGTTACAGCACGTAATGACATATTCATTTAACACACTACTGTTCTCACTAAATAATAATTAAAGCATGGTTTTGTAGTGATCTCCAATTAATGGCAGCTCTACACATTCTTGCGCCCTCGGCACTGCTCTAATTACTGATGCAAGGCACAATGACCCCTGCTTAGCCTTTTCATATGTTAATAACATACCGCCACCCCAAAACTATTACGCAAATTATAGGTAAGGAGCCACTCTAATTATGTGTCCAGCTGTAGCCAACGGTTGCCATAGAGCCCCCTTCTTTTTTATTCAGGACCATGTAATAAAACTAGCTTTTTAAACAGGCAACCGCAAAATTGATGTAGCTACAATTTACCACGTGTCCACCCAATTTACGTTGGAACAACAATAAACTGTATTTTCCACAAAATATAATTAGCATAAAGTAAAAAACAATTGAACACATGTATATGTGAATATACACACACACACACACACACACACACACACACACACACATATATATATATATTAGGGCTGTCAAACAATTAATCACAATTAATCGCATCCAAAATAAAAGTTTTTTGTTTACATAATATATGTGTGTGTACTGTGTATAATTATTTTTAATACATAAATACCCACACATGCATGTGTATTTAAGAAATATTTGCATGTATATACTGTATATAGACTGAATGTAGCCTATATATAATGTATATTTTATATAAATATAAACATTTTATATATAAATAACATATTTTTCTGAAATATATACGTGTGTGCATTTATATACAAAATAAGTATACACAGTACACACACATATATTATGTAAACACAAACTTTTATTTTGGATGCGATTAATCGCGATTAATCTTTTGACAGCCCTAATATATGTCTTTTTTAAAAACATAGATGCAGAAAATCCCACTTTATGTATGAAATTTTGAATAGCATTTGGAGACTATTATGTGGAGAAAAGATAGGGGTGTAACAATATATCGTCCCACAATATATCGCAATACAAAAATGCAACAATACGTATCGTGGATAGTGACAATATGTATCGTGGATAGTTCCCCCAAAATAAAAATAACTGTGTGAGAGAAAAGTTTTAGTGTCAGTACTACATTAAACTACTATATATAATGTTGATTATAATGTATAATAATGCACTGGGGGAATATTTGTGGGTCCTGATAATGCCAAATGCCTTATGTTACCAGTAAAAAGTGGCCTACATTTATTTTATATATATCTAGTCAGTGACAGAGTGCAAGCATATTCGTCTAAAATAATTCGGTAACGCTTCCTTTTACAGTACAGTACTTACGTGTACTTACCTAGAAAGTACTGGCTAATATAAGGTAAGTACATGGGTTAGGGGTAGGTTCAGGGTTAGTACCTAGTTATTACCCAGTAATTATAGTTACTATAATAAGTACATGGGTAACAGGACTGTAAAAGGAAGCGTTACCAATAATTCTGTATTTTCAGCTTCAGAATCATGAATATTTTTATTCTGGTGTCACCATTGTCCTTGGGTTACAAGCACCAAGTCCAAGCCTATTCATCGTGATATATATCGAATCGTGACACGAGGGTATCGTTACACCCCTAGATGGAAATCCTCTTGATTTTGAACAGAAACTCAGGAACCCCCCTGAGTCCAACCTTTTATTCATTTTCCTGGCCTATGATTAGGAGGGAATGGGAATGACCTGAACACAGCGAGACTTGAACTCAAAAAAGCCATATGAACACCACTGCTCAACATGTAACTAACAACCAGGCCATGGCTCCATCAAAGCACATGCTAAAATGAAAGGTAGACTTGTTGAGAAAAAAAAAAGATGAGTTGAGGAGGTGAGGCAGCAGACGTGTTCTGGGTGTGGAGTGGGGTGACTGGCCATGACGGAGGCTGGGCTGAGGTCTGTTGTTTGTGAAATGGGCACACACTGAGATGGCAAAGCCGCATCATCCACCTGCTGTGCGCTGGGCTCGCGGTGTTCAGGTGGGCTGGGTAATCTCCTGAGCTTCTGCTATTAGGCACACCTGTCGTGTGAAAGGGAATCTCTTTCTCACTCACCTCCTCTCTCTGACGTACCAGTAATTTGCTTTTCTCTCAGTAAAATCCTCACGAGTTTTAAAACCAATGGGAACCATAAAGAATGAATTGGACCTGCTGATATCAGGGGGGTTTTTTTTGCACGTCCTGTCTGCGTTTTTACAGAGCCCCGCACATGACATGCAGGAAAAAATATGTATATCATGGCCACAAATTAACAGTGCGTTCACACGACTTACTAATACATCAGCACGTTTGACTAAATCTTTACTTTTTATTTACTAAACTAAAGGAACAAATTATTATAATGTGCACACGATTTAGTAAAACAAGGGAACAAATTAGTGAATCATGGCCATGATTTACTAAAACGAGAGAACGAATTCATAATTATTGGCTATATATTCGCATGTCATGTGCAGGGCTCCATATGTTTTGAATTATGAATTATGCAAATGAGGTAATGACACAAACATGCCAACAAAATCAGTGCTGACCATCATTTGTATGCCGCTATTCCCAATCTTTCTGGCTAGTTATGAGAAGCTGCTGAAGACTGACACAATCTGTTATACTTCACTGGGACTGTATCACCATACCTGAATAGTCTATTTTAAATAAATAAATAAATGCTTGTTTATACTGCACATTGCACAACTGGATAAGATCCATGATTTATTCAAAAATTCTGCTTCTTTGATCAATATTTTTTTAACATAAATGTCTCTTTTAACTCAAAATGCTTTTTAGCATGAAGTTAAATGCACCAGAAAAATAAGCTAGAGATGTGTGAACAAGGTGCAATTTTAAAATAGTAATAATTATAACAAGCCTAATTTACATCAGGTATGTTTCGCTGAAAAAGATGACAGTGACTTCATTTGAATACTCATACCTTGGGGCAAACTGGACTGCAGTTGATTAGTGTATAAGAAGGTTTTTAGTCTTGAATAACAGCACACAAAACGGTTTATAAATTTGCCCTAAATTTTCTATAAAAACACTTTGCATAAAGTCGCATTGTGCCGTACATCCGGGGGTAATGGATTATTGGGGGAAAAATGTAGGGAGGGGACTTGTTGACTTTTGAGATGTGGGCGTTGCACTCAGAAGTGGAGGCAGATTAACCTGAGCTTGTAAGGAGCGGGGTTTAAGTGGATTAAATGTTTGGACAAGTCCTGCATATGTCACAAGTGAGAAGGCTGTCATTCTCACCAGAAGATCCAGTTATCAAATTTTGGTCAAAACATTAAAAAATAAACAAATAATTAAAACATATACATGGATGAATCGTTCACAATCAGATCACAATAAACACAATAGAACATTTAATTTCATGCCAACTAGAACTATTAATTTATCATCAATGTCAAAATAAATCTGAAAAAGCCCCAATTTTTTTTAAAGACCAAACTCTGGAATTACCCACAAACCATGTACATGTGTTGCTAGCAATATGTGAGATGTCTACATGATAAAAATAAAAACTCCCTCTGAAAAGGCCTTGTCCTAACAGGTGTGTAGCGCTCCCCCAACATAGCCTGAAGCCGTGAGTGTGCGATTCCAACATGCGTGCTTGATGCATGTGTGGGCTGAATGGATGGACAGCTCTCTTTCTTCACGTAGGCCATTCTGTTAAGGCTACAACAACGGCAGGAGATCATGTGACCTCCAGGACAAATAAATAGCATCTGGGGATTTTCAGTTCTAGCCCACCTCCTCAGCATGCCAACACTGTAATCTCTCCCAGATGAAGCCAGGGCCTCGCCACTTTCAATAATTCACACACTGTGTACACATAACATGACAATAAGGGCATTCATGCAGACGCCTGATTCCTAGATCAAAGCTCACAAACGGCCAGCTGTAAGCATGCTTACTGCTGAATAATTCATTCTTTTCACCGCCTTGAAAAAAACCCTGCTCAGCGGGACTTGGGCAGCAAGCTTTCTTTCCTGTGTTTGCCGTGCAAAACAGCGTTGGCAGAAAGAAACTGAGTCAAAAAAGAGGGTAAGGACACACTGGAGGTCCTGAAACCTGAGGAGACAAGCTGCCCCCCATGACATTAATAAGAAAAAATAAAATGCATTGCATTTTTACAGTAATATGTGTTACAGTTTTATTCTAAAAGAGTGTGAACAGGTGTGTGATTGGACTGTGAAACCCCAATTCTGCACAAAAATTCAAATTCAGAACTTTAAAATAAGTTATTATTAATTCTGGTTGCTGAAAATCATACACATTAGGGCTGCACACATTTGCCAAAGAAACTCGTATTGTTATTATTTTGTGATTTGACAAATCAATGAGAATATCTATGAATGATACTAATAAAAGTTTTTTAACAGTAGATAATTCATATTTCAACATACATTTTACAGCTTTGGGCTGTTTAAGTTAGTTTAGTTAACAAAAGTTTTTACGGACTTTTTACAAAAATGGTGAAATGCATCAAACCTCTATCAATAACAGTGTTTTTAAATCACTTTATTTTGTGTGAACATGTCCATTTGAATGTACCAATTCGATTTAAAGTCTTGTCCATGGTGGATATTCATGGGGAACATATTCATTCGGCAGTGTGGTGTACACGAGGAGGACGGCAGGGCAGGGGGTGGGAACAG